ATCCTTGGCACGTGTTTTCTCTGACAGGTATATATACATTTCAACATAGGCAAACCCTCACTTCCCTCGCTCCCTTAGCATCTTTCTCTCATTCTCTCTCTCCTCTTCTCTTCATTATCATTAACAAAAATGAAAAATACAATACAATTTGAAGACAATAGTAGTCATTATATACTTTTTTTTCTATCAACAAAAGTTTAAAGCAAACATTTGTGGGTTTGTTTTTGTAGATATGTCTCAAAATATTATTTATACAGTATTAAGTGCTTAGTCATGCATTTGGGTTTAAATATGCAGATGAAGATAAAACTGCCGTTGAGTGTACGGAACAGAGAAACAAACGAACAAAATTTTACCTGAATCCTGTATCTGTTTTAGACCAGCAGATCCAACTATCGATGTAAGGTTTTTAAAAGACTCCTACAATTGTGGATGGACAGATGGTTCATTTCGTGATCCTTTGAGTGGTGGGTGCATATTTTAAAATGGTTGAGTTTTAAAACCTATAACTGTTGCTCTGTGTGTTGAAAACGCTTATGATCCACTTCCGATAGCCAACTCGCGCAATGGAGGTTAGCTGCTGGATGGCATCAATACCAAGTATTGATTTGGACGTGTAATGGATCCTTCCGGGTGGCCTCCAGGGAGAGGACTGCCGGATCAATTCCAGCTTTTAGTAAAGTAAGTCCAGGAAAGACTTACTGCGTATTTAAACACCTACGTTGGTGTGCATGTACATCTACAATGCATAATACATGAATGCAACAAGCAGGTGCTTGGATACATGAATATCATACAAGGATGCTCACCAGGAGAGGCGCCTGCTCAATGTTTCCTCTGGACAAGCACCTGCAGAAGACCCGGGAAAGATGACAAAGGGCTCCCAAGGACAGAAATGGATCAGAACCCCTGGTTCCAAAGAGACCGAAACAGAACGAGTCCCAGGAGCGAACCTTCGTCTCTATTTAATGCAATTTAGAGGGTGTGCAGGACAGAGTCACAAAAGAACTCAATGGGTCAACTTGGGTGTCGTGGGGATGCATTGGTGATTCGTGAGGGTATCAATTCGGGAGGGCCTATCCTGGAGGAACCCAGGTGGCAGGTGCAAAAGAGATCGCCCAGAAGTCCACGTCCTTCCAATATTAACCACAGAAAACAACTCAGCACAGAAATTGTTGCAATGTGGTGATGTGGAGTTAAATTGACCCAGCCGTACATTTATACATGAAATGGTAAATTGGCTTCCCATTCAGTTCTTTGTGATCTGGTTTTCTGCCATCATATACACACTGTGCAAATCGTATTCCGAAATGGCAAACTCTTCCGTAATCTCCCCAGCCCCTCGCCAGATGTGCAAGGAATTCGCCCCTAGCATTTTGAGAGCTCCAGGCCTCACACATCTGGTGGGTGCCAGCTGAGAAGGGTGGCTTGATAGATGCTAATGCCTAAGCATTGTGGTCACCCTTAATTGTACTTCGAATGCACTTGGCAGTACAGATGTAGCCGAGAGTTTTTGGGTTAGGCTGGTCTGCCCAGGAGAGGCTTTCTCCTTTGGGTTGTGGGGGAGGGTCGCATTTTGGGGTCACAACTGACTCCCTGGGAAACTTGGGCTTGCATTCAGTTGCAAAGGAGTATTGAAAAATTAACGTACACACATGACTTTACCCAAATCTTCTTTTTTTTGGGGGGGGGGAGTTGTAATGTGCACTTCTCACTTTATCTGCAAAATGCTCTATTTACCACTGAGCCAGCGAGAGATTTCTCTGCCCGTGTAGTAGTGCAATGTACCAATTTGACATCCAAACACTTGAACCTCTGAGGAATTATTCTCTCAAGGATGCAACAGTAAACAGTGCTAGAAAGAAACTTTGGTGTGTGTGGAGGGGAGGGTGTGGGGAGGATATTACAACTACCTAACAGAAGATTTATTGGATTTTCGAAAGGCGGCTGCTTGGCTGTTATCTGAGCCGTCCAGCTGTGTTTTCAGCAGACCAACGTAGGATCTGGGGGGGCACAGTTTTTCTTTCTGAACCCCCCGCTGGAGATTTCGCTTTGAAAAGATTCAGGACCGAGGAGATCCTGCCACCCAGGAACATTTTGGAGGCCTTGACAGAAATGTCTAGCGGGTGAATCAGGGAGGTTCTGCTTCCTCTCTGCCCCAGGCCCTACACGCATCTTTTCCTGAGGACTGAAATCTAGACGCAATGCGCAACCACAGCTTCACCAGGAGAGATTCCACCTACGAGACTGCAGGTAGCCTGAGGGAGGGAAGGAGGGTGGTTTGAGATGATGGAGCCCAGGCTGTTCTCCCAAGACAGGAGCCTGGAGAAGGGCGGGGGGGGGGGGGTTGGACCAGGCTTTCCCTCTGCCTCGCCCAAGACGCTCGCCCCAATTTCTCTCACCACCCGCAAGAGAGAAAGACACCTAAACATGGCTTTCCGGAACTGCAGAAGTTTCTACATGGAAACTGCAGCTTCCCAACCTCCCATTTCTTCGTTTCAACCCTGAGATGGTCTGTCTTTGTCCGCCACCAAGAGACGCTTCCCATGAGACGGGCAGCCATATAAATCCGGTAAAGAAATAAATAAATCTATAGAACAAGGTTCTTCAGCAAAATGCTGACCTTCCTTGGAGAGAAAGCCAGCTGAAGGCCACGTGTCCAGGAGGACTAACCGATGCTCAAGGGCCAAGAGGTCACCTGGGGACCCCAGGCTGCCTGTAGGGAGAGACTCGGAATAACCGAGTTGGAAGGGATCTTGAAGGTCTTCTAGTCCAACCCCCTGCTCAAGCAGGAGACTCCAGCTGGGCCTGTCCCTTCAGCAGCGGTGCTGAAAAGCAGGGGATTGGGACCCTTCCTGGGGGGTTCCCATTCAGGCCGTGGAGCCCAACCTCGCCCCTCTTCTCTACTTCAGGCCTGGTGTTTTTCCATACGCCCCAGAATCCCTCCCTCCCCCCCACACCTGCGACTGAAGCTGGACGTCCAGTGGAGGCCCGAAACCTTTTGATTCCATTTGCGTTTCTCTTCCTGCTTTTCGTGTTGAACGGACATGTATTCACAGTGCAGGTTTTATAAGGTTGCCTTGAACACAAGTGTGTAAATCCACCCCTAGACCAAACCCGGAGTGGGTCCCTAATTTAGGAAGACGGGTGATGTTCTCCTTGCTACTCCAAGGTTACTAAATTATGCAACGTAGGTGCATATATTACATATTTAAAATAAGCTTGTTTAGAGAATTCAACGGCGGTTCCAAACATACAGACAGATGATCGTGATCTTCCGGAAAGAAAGTAAGTCATTATCACAGAGCTGCTGCCAAGCTACACGAGACCCTCTCCACCCAGGGAAGCCCCTTCCACACCTATGACTGATGGCCTTGGACAGGGAGGAGTGGGCACTCAAGGGGGAGTCCCCCCAACGTTTTTAAGTTGCGGCTGTTTCAATGGAGGTGCCTGTCTGGGTCTATTTGGAATCAAGGTGAGGAGACAAGAAGACAGATGCTATCAAGCCCTGAGATACCAGCGTGGAGACGCAAAGACATGGAAACCTTAGGGGTTGAGATTGATGATGAGGGAGGTCTGCAGGCGTGATCTGCCCCCTGCCCAAAACTGAACAATGCTCTCCTGGCACAAGATCTTCTAGGTGTGAAGTTCCCACCAACTAATGAGCAGCTGTGAAATAAAACAGAAGCGATGGGACACAGAAACCAACATCCAACAGGTCCAACCAGACATTACAAGGTTGGTCCTGCAGGGACACCACAGATTCACGTGGAAGATACCTTACTTACAGGCAGGGGTTCCAAAACCTTCCAAACCCCTTGGTCCCTGATCCCCCCCGCTTTTCATTGGAAAGGTGGTCTTCCACTCCGGGAAAGAGCTTTTTCCTAGAGCTTCTGGCCGTATTGGGGTCCGCTGTGATCATTCCCAAAGCAACAAGATTCCTTTGAGGCTCCAGTGCTGCTTCCCGTAGGAGCAGCCCTGTCTTCCTTCCTATCCAGCCCGTCCCTAAAGTGCAAAAAATGGGCGTCTTTTCAAAAACCGGAGCAAAAGGCCATGATGTCCACCGTCTCCCGGAGAATTGCCCAGAAAGAACTCCTCTCGCGCGATGAGCCTCGTGCCCCAACGCAGCAATTGGGAGGAGGCTCCCTGGCTGATGGCCACCTTCATCCCCAACTCCCACCTCAAAAGCCCCCCGGGCTCCTTTCCACTGCCCTGACCCCACAAGGCCTGGCGGTGCAACGTCACACAGAGGATCCAACCGGACAAAGCTCTCCCTGGTCCCTTCCTTGCCAAAGAGAGTCCTGCATCTATTGCTCGCCTCCCTTGCGTTAACACCCAACACACAGGATCAGCAAGGAGGAGGTTGTGGGGACGGAAATGTGCAAACCAATGCTTAGCATCACCCAAAAGAACGAGGGTCGTCTCCACCGACAGGGGCCCCCTCACAGGCTAATTTGGGGCCGTACCTCATTGGCTCTACTTCGGAAGAATTACGGGAGTAAATCCCAGGCCTCCAGACCCTCCACTGGGGTCCCCGTTGCCACAGAGAGCTTCCTGCACCTGACTCCTGCCTGGGCTGCTGGCTGCCTGGGCCCAGGGCCTTCTCCAGACTGGAGACTCCACAGGCCTCTCCCAGGGCCCCCTCCGCCCCCACCTGTTCCGGGGTTGCACTACAGGGCCTCTCTCTCTTCGATGGGAGCAGGAGGGGGTCACTGGCCCTCCTTTCCTGAGACAAGCCCCCAGACCCCCTCTTCTTGCTTGAAGGCCTAGCATGGAGCCGGTGACCCACCTTGGCAGTGCCCTTCCTTGCCATGAGATCTGGAGGAGGAGGAGGAGGAGGAGGAGGAGGAGGAGGAGGAAGGGGAGGGGGGAGTCCAGGGTGAATTGCAGCTGGATCTCTGCAAGACAGAGACAGATGAAGACAATATTGATTCCATTCATGGGCCCTGAGGTTTTGTGTTTTTTTTTCCATTTTTTGTTATTTTTTGCTTTCTTTTGTCTGTGTTTAAAAATAAATATGAGGCTAAATCATAGAGCTATAGCGATATATAGTTGTTTGTAAAAAAAGACTATCTTTCTAATCTCTTGGATGAGTCTTACCACGGTAAGTGTGCAAACGCATTCTTAAACTTGCTTTTTGTTTTGTTTTAGCTTTTGTTCTGTGTCAAAGTACATGCATATACCATATTGCTTATTCTCTGTTAAAAAATAAAATCTTGGGAGGGCAGAATTACAGGGGGCGAAAGTGCTAGGAGGACGGAGTCCGACCGACAGGGGGCAAAAGAACCATCCTGGTAGAAAAACAACACTGTTGCCAACAGGGGGCGCAGCTGTTTCCCAGTGCAGTGACCATCCACGGTGGCCACGCGTGTCCTGGGGGTGGGGGGCGAATCTGCTCTACAGATCGGCCTTCCTTTGCATGGCTATTCCTTTGGGTCAAGAATTGGAACTCTACTTGGGACAGAAGAGATTTTTCGCCAAACTTAATTGACAGGGGGGGGGACGGAGGAGACAGAACTATGGATAGTGTAGTCCGTGCAGTGGTCCCTGGGGAGTGGGCTGTCCCTTCCCACGGCCTCTTCCTGCTCCTTCTTTCTGGTGGAACTAAGCGCATGGGAATGGGATCTACGCAAGGCAACCGCTCTCTTCCCCCTCCTCCAACGCTCTGCTAAGGGCCGCCCCCTTTGGCCTGCGGCAACTACGTCCCCCTGGAGGTCAGTGCTACACGTCCGACTCCAGGCTGGGGATCTTCTTGTAGACCCGTCGGTCGCTGCAGGAGTTCAGCCCTCGTGGAGCAGAGTACAGGCTGTTCTGAGTGGCCGCGTAAGGCATCCCGTGCTCCGAAACGCACGCGTCGTTGTGGACCCGGCCATCTCTGGAACAGTACGAGGCCGCTGATTTGACCGACGACCTGGAGACGCTGTCATAGGCCGGCTGTCTGTGCAGGCTGGTGGGACTGGGTGCCAGGACCAAGTGCTGGTCGTCACAGTAAGACCGCAGAAAAGGGTTCTCGGCCGAGCACTCCAGGTACAGCGACTTGATCCTCTTGCCGTCGTCCAACGTGCGTGAGAAGAGCGGGAGCTTGCCGCTCGAGTGTTTGCTTTGGGGGGCCCTGAAGAGGGTGGCATAGGGGCCCCCTTCCAGAAGCCTCTCCTTCTCTTTCAGGCTGATGCTGCGGGCCGTTCTGCCCCCGTTGCCGTCCCGGTGCTTATTGAAGAGGTTGTCGAAGGAGCGCTGCCTGCTGATTTGCAGCTTACTCTTGCGGGGCGGCTGGCTCTTCTCCTCCGGGGCCCAGTCCTGCTGGCACGGTTCTTCCCGGGGCCCGGAGTTGGCGGGGCTCTGCAGCATCTGGCCCTCCTCGATGTCGTACAGGCTGCCCATCCGCACGCAGGCGCCGCACCGGTAGGGTGACCGGCTTAAGTAGTGCCCGGCGTAACTGGGCAGGCTGGTCAGGCAGCTCCGGCAGTGCGTGGCCTTCTGGCGGTATCGCTCGTTGGCTTCACCGTAGGCCACGTTCTTGTCCTTCGTGCCGTAGTGCTTTGGGTAGAGCTTGTACTGGCCGTTACTTGGAAGACTTTCCTCATTGCTCAAGGGGATCTGGTTGCTCTGCTCGGGGGGCCGGTAGCTATCGTTGCGGTCCTGATAAAGGTTGGAAAAGTCGGCCGGCTCAGGAAGGATGATGTTCTCCACGTACTCCGGGGGAACATCGAGGTGGAAACTGTGCTGTTTGTCCGCCTCAATGATGTAGATTTTGTCCCGGGGTAAAGATTGCTTGCTCTTCAGGTAGGTCAGCTCCACCTCGCTGCAATCCTTGGGATATTTTGATGCGGGCCTCTTCTTGGCATTCTCCTTGGTCTTGGGGGGCTTGCTGTTCCTCTCCTCCTCCGCGTGGCCGGCGGCTCTGCTGGAGGTGTCGGAGACATCCGAGTGGACGTCTTCAGGGAGGTACCTGGGGCCTTTTAGGGAGTGCCGCCGGTTTCCCCCCGTGCCGTCGTCCCTCTGAGAACCGTGACTCTGCCGGAGGGAGTCTTGGCGCAGAGATTCCAGCGATTTCCTCCACAGCTGCCTCGGGCGGGAGTTCTCCTTGGCCTCAGCCGCCATGGCCACCTCCACCGTGTTGGGGTTGGACTCGTGCAGCGTCAGGGGGTGCGGCCCTTGGAAGACGTAGTTGTTGAGGTTATCCGGGTGGCGGGTAGCGGGAAAGGCCTGCAGCTCGTTCGCGTTGTCGCTGAAGATGTTTTCCTTGGGGGTCAGAGGGTGGTTGTTGTCCGAGAAGATGAAGCTGCCCTTTTCCATCATCAGGTCCATCATCAACGATCCACGGCGGATGAATTCGGCTGCTCTTTGCGGGGAACTGATCCGCCCGGGGTTCACGCTGGTCATATTCTTGGCCGTCTGCAGGAGCTTCAGCATGTTGGTCTGAGAACTGGTCAGGGTGAAGTGGGGAGACTTTTTCTTCTCCTCAATGTGGACCCCATGGATGCAGCTGTAGATGCCCTGCAGGGGAAACAACGGGAGAGAGACGCTGGCTTTAGCCGCCAATTATTTTGGAGGAATTAGAGGGAAACACTTCCTACCTGGAACTCTTGGAAGCCTTTCGGTTTCATTAAATGCACATTTAAACCTGGATTTTTAATCATCCGGGCAAGGGGGTGAGGGGAGTGTACCCTTGAGGGGTGCTCAACTTAAAGTAAACTGACTCTTCACAACGACCATCTTGAGAATTAAACCAAGAGAGAAACGGACCTCGGGCTCCGTTAGGTGGAAAGTCCAGGAGGAAAGATGGAAAGATATTGTCCATCTTCAATAATTCCTGAGTAGCAACACCTGTACTCAGAGGCCACTAGCTACATAGCTACATCATCGCCCCTAGCAAACCACTGTGGCTTCTGGGAGGTTTGGCCACCTCTCTCAACCGAGGGCAGCCCGAGTGGGTGGGATGAGCCCATCAAGCCCCCCACCACGCAAGGGCCGGCTACAGAAACCCCTCGAAGCAGCAGGAAAGGCGGGTTCTGCTTGAGTGAGACAATCCTTGAAGTCTTCCTTCCTTGTTCTGGGATAATTAGCTCTACGGCTGAGTAGCTCCAGCCAATTATTTCTGTATAATTTTTGACAAGAACAGAACCGCAGAGTCAATTAACCAATTAAAGGACACCAACCCAGACGCTGCTCCGAGTTTAAACGACTTGCATTTTAAAGCAACTTCTTTGGAAGGGGGAACCCACCGGTGAAAGGGTTAAAAAAAAAACACCCAACTAGTTTGTGTTCTCAGGGACAAGTAACTTCAACCAGAATGCTAATTACACAGTGAAGCTGCCTAATTAATTTGGGAAGATCTGCCCAAGGAGTTTTGATGCTGAGTATGTGAACATCCAAGAGGAATTTGGGGTCCTGGAATGAAACCCGTTTGGGCCAGTGGGGCTGCAGGAGGCTCTTTCCTTAAAATCCTCCCCTCCCAGATCGGACTTTTCCCCTTCTTTTGTGGAACAGGAAAAAAATCCTCCTGTTTGGCCCATTTTTCCAAGGACCCCTTTCCCCCAAATAAGGATGGGCTCCCTTGAAGCCCCTCCTCCCACAGCCCCTCAGAGCGGCTGGGGGCCAGGAGAGGCAAACGGAGGCTATGATTGCCAGCCTCCCACCATCGCCTGGAGACCCTTCAGAGTCCCTCCTGGTCTGCTCCCCGCGGCCTTTGCAAACAGGGGCCAGAGATTCAGCAGTCCGCGTCCCCCCGCCCATTCCTGGGCCTGGCCTCTGTCCACGCTCACCCTGCTGATGGAGAAGAGCAGCCCCGGGCGGTCGGAGCACATCCCGGTGAAGCAGAAGCGGAGCTTCCAGTAAAACAGGTGCTCCCACACGAAGGTGATCAGGCTGAGCCCCATGGCGGCGGCCAGCATGTAGAACACGCCCGCCATGTTGTCGATGTCCAGCTGGCTGCTCATGACCTCGTTCTTCTCGTTGTGGCAAATGCCGGTCAGCCAGAGGGTCTCCAGCTCTTCCATTTCCCCTGGAAAGAAAGGCAAAGCGGAAGGTCAGAGAGACGGGCGTCCAGGGCCAGAGGAAGAGAGGCTGGAAGTCCCGCAGGAGTTGGGAAGGACTTGGAGTTCCAGGATTCCTGATCTGATTCTCTCCCGCTCCAGAAGCAGGATCTGGCTGGGACGGGTCCCTCCTTTAAGGGGAATGCCTCGAAGGAAATTCCCCCGACTGAGCTGGGTTGCTAGAGAGTGGACAGTTATTAAAGGATAAAAAAATCTGGGTGCCCTGAAGCTGAATGTTATCTTCTTTCTGCTTTTTTCTTTTTTTAAAGCAGAGGATGTGGGTGGCTTTGTTGACGTTTTTTCAGCTAGAAAAAACGGAGCTCTTAAAGACAGAAAAGATGGATTCCCTCCCTTTGCAACAAGGCAAAAAGGCCATTAAATGCCTGGCAAGGAAAAAACCAATTTCCAGATGGGAGGAACCCGAGGCCTGCAAAAGGCAAGGGATGGGCACCCCCAGCTTCCCCCCCCCCGCAATGTTGGAGGGGGTTGAGAGAGGGGCCACCTGCACAGAGAACAAAGGGAAGTGAAATGAACTTAAAATTTCTGCTGGTTCGCTTTTCCCTTCTCAAAAGGAGGTTTTTATTGGGCATTTCCAGTTTGCTTTCCCTCCAGAACAAATTTCCCAAAGCCTCAGTTTGGGGAGGGGGGGGGTGTTCCCCCTTCCTGGTCTTGTCCCTGCTTAGAAGCTAAGTGGGGTGTTGCAATGTGGGGGGCAGGGATGAAATGGTGGGGTTCCTGCAGATTCCCAGGCTCCGTTCTCCTGGGCTGGGATTCGCTCTCCGCATTCGCCCATTGAAATCATGGCCACCTCAGCCAAGAGGGGCACCGCGCAGGGGCCACCCCCGTCCTCCTTCAAGGGAGAGCCGGCAGGAAGGCCGCTCTGCCACTCACCGTCCCCCACAAACTGCAGCAGCGCCAGGTCGATGGCCCTCTTCCAGGGGGAGCCCTTCTGCAGCGCGATGCCGTATCCCGTGGTGGCGAAGATGTAGCCGCTGCCGATGGTCACCAGCTTGCAGCCTTCGTCCCGCCCGGCTTTGTAGTTCAGCACTGCCGCGTCGTAGATGAAAGCATCCAGCTTCCTGCCACAGAAAGAAGGGAAGCTCAGCCGGTGGAGGGAAAGGGGGCGCCTGGCTGCACCCCGCCCCGTGCCTTGACCCATGCGTGCCCGCAGTCCATCAGGGGCTGGAGAAGAAGGCGGCTCAGGGACAGCCTGCAGCCCTTAACCCTCTGCAGGAAAAAAGAGGCACAAGCTCTTTCGACCCACAATGCAGCCCCGGGGCCACTGCAAGAACACACGGGCCCTCAAGGTTTGTTCTGCAGGTCCAGGAAGAGGGGAAAGGCCCCCCCAAGAGGGCAGCAGCCCCTAGGCCAGCACAGCTCCGGGCCTTTGGGGGGGTCAACCACAAGGTGTATCCCTGGGCCCCTTCCCCAAACAGGTGCTTTCCCACGGGGCAAGGTCCCACTTCTAGGTTTCCATCTCCTTCAGATTTGGACAAATGCCGGGCTTTGAAAGCAACTCCTCGCAGCTGATGGGACGAAGAGGAAGCCAGGAGGAAGGGAGGAAGAGAACAGTCAGATACTAATGTCCTCCTTTGTCTCTCAGTCTGTAGTGAGTCATCATCCTCACCTCCTCCTCCTTCTCCTCCTTCAGCCTCCCTCCCTCCCTTTCATTCTTCCTCCTTTTCCTTCCTCTCTTCCCTTCCTCACCCTCTCCTGTCTCCCTTCTCCTCCATTAAAGCGTTTCCTTTCCAATGGGGAAGGTCTCTTCTAGACAAACTGCCCAGGCTTGACCTGACCAATGGTCAGAGGGAGGATCCCCAGGAATCCCTCCTCCAGTGGATGCTTGGGCCGATCCAGTCGGTCCAAAAAACTGCAGATGCACAAAGCCTGGTTTTCAGAGAAGAGCCTCAGGACAGGGAACAGGGGCCGCAGGATGACAGGGAACCACCCGGCCGGGGCCCCTGGGGGCTCTTTTCCTCCGAGTCTTGTTTTCTTTCCAAAGCTGTGTGCTGCCCTTCCGAGCTACGTTCCCCCAAAATAATCTGCTTACAACACACTAAATTCACCGGCAAAATTATGAGCAATCAGAATGCATAATAAAACACGGCAACGAATGCACCATTCTTCAAACGGCAGCAGCTCAGTCCTGGGGGGATCTTGAGGGACCCCTTCCCCAAGTCACAGAGCAACCTTCTGTGTGCTGCTACTCCAGGCAAATCTGCCTTACACAGACACACACACACACACACACACACACACACACACACACAGCATGGGGCTTTGCTTCCCACTGCAACCGAAGCCACGGCTGGATCCTTGAGAAGCGCAAGAGAGCAGCTTTTGGGATCTAGAAAGAGCTCAGCAATCTCCCCTCACTCTTCTCATGCCTGATCTGTTGATCTGACTCCTTCTGTCTCACACAATGGCGCAAGGGCCGCTGGGATGGTCTTCCTAGTGGCCACAGGGCAGAGGTGGGTTCCTACCGGTTCGCACCGGTTCAATTGAACCGGTTCGTCAAATCTACCGAACCGGTGAGAAGAGGTTACACCAGTGGACCCGGAAAGCAGACCACACCTACAGAAGAGGTTCCAAATTTTTTTGAAACCCACCACTGCCACAGGGGACACATGGATACCAGGGTCCCCCCCCTGCCCCCAGATCTTGATCTCGCCATTGGACGGTGGTGTTCCCAGCTGGATCTCAGCAGAGGCAGATCAGTTCCCTGCACCCAGCCAGATCAGAGCGGGGAGTGAACCCTCTCCCGGCACAGGGGGAAAGCAGACTGCCCCTGGGCATGGAGGCTCCATTGATTGACACCAGCAGAGCCTTCTGTGGTCATGTCTCAACTCTTCCCTGAGGCTCTCCAAGTAGCCTTTCGCCCTCCAAGTGAGAAGCTTTTTCCTTCCGCGAGGGACTGCTACAGGCGGGTCCCCATTTAGCGACCGCCTCATTTTAAAAACTGCGGTGACATATGCGGGGTGAGACAGTCACTATGAGACTTTTGCTTTTGCAAAGCAAAAGGAAGTCGAAGGAAGGCGGCAAACACAATTGCGGCTTCAACTAGCGGCCCGCTGGCTTAACGGCAGAGTCGCCCGTCTCGATGGAGGTCACTAAACGAGGATGACCTGCATTTCCCCAGCCAAGCATTGCCGCTGGAGGTGTGGGCGAGGTTCCGTCCCCTGGTTGCTTCCGCACAGGGAGCCCCTGCATCCCTTCTGAGTTTCAGGCAATACAATAAAAATAGCATTTTGATCTATGGCCACCAGGCATCCATTCTGCTCTGGATGGGGTTGCTGGGAAGGGGGGGGGGTATTTTATGGGGTTTTGCTTTTAAATCCAGGCTGAGTCACGGGGGATCACTGTTCCATTAATAAAGGGGCCGCTCTTGCCTGATGAGGCCTCCCTCGGCCAGACCGCAGCCATCCATCCCCTGGTTCCCCCGAAGCCTCGCTCTCTGCTCTGCGCTGGTTTTATTACCTGCTTTCTCTTCCTTTTTTTTGCTGGCTGCACCTGACTGGGAGCCCCGGCTGGGCCAGGCGTGATTTACAATTACTTTTATGAATAATAACCAAAGCCTGCCATTCTCGGTGTCCGTGGCACACAATAAAACACTCGACCCCCACCAGCGTCTCCCAGAGTGGCCAAAGTCCCCATTGGCTGGACGGAGCTGCCATCCTTCACCCCCTCCCCGACACAACACACACACACACACTCCGGCTGCGTGGCGGCTGCTTCCTCCCCCGGACACGATTTTTAGTTACCGCATCCGTAACTCAAAATAGATGCTGCCCTGTCAGTTGCACGGAGCGTCATGTTTCAGCGAGGGAAGACTCATCACCCCCTTAACCACACTTGACAGCGAATAAAACACCAACGTGAATTTCCACAATGGGGGGGGGGGAAGGAAAACAGGCAGAGATTTTCCCCTCGGAAGCCCCAGAAAAGAGGCAGGATGCGCCCCCGTCCTTCCTTCGGCTGAATTTGGGGCTAAGGGGGCCTGGATACAGGGCAGCCTTTCGGAGAGGGGAAAGGAAAGTATCTGTTGGCTGAATTGGGGAACGGGGCTCTCGGCTGGAGTGGACTGTGCCCCCCCTTAAGGAAGCCTACAGGGCCAGAGGCAGTCCTATCTTCCAGAGCCACGGTGGCCCAGTCTTTAGAAGGCAATATTTCAGGCTGACTCTGCCCACTGCCAGGAGTTCAATCCTGACCGGCTCCAGGTTGACTCAGCCTTCCGTCCTTCCTAAGTGGGTAAAAGGAGGACGGAGATTGTTGGGGGGCAGAGGCCGGCTCTGTAAGCCGCTTAGAGAGGGCTGCAAAAACACTGTGAACCAGTATATAAGTCGAAAGTGGGAGGGGAGGGAGGGAGGGAAGGGCCATCGTGGCACAGTGGTCAGAATGCAGTATTGCAGAGTGACTCTGCCCACTGCCAGCAGTTCGATCCTAACTGTCTGCAAGTTGACTCTGCCTTCCCTCCTTCCTAAGTGGGTAAAAGGAGGACCGAGATTGTTGGGGGGACAGAGGCCGGCTCTGTAAGCCGCTTAGAGATGGCTGTGTAAAGTGTGGTGAAGCGGCGCATAGGTCTGAGGGCCGCGGCTGTCTTCAAGCAGCTGTGGAGGAAGCGCTGGCCTTCTGCCCTGTTGGCCTCCTAAGCTCAGGACGATGGTCTTGGACGAGGGGAAAAACGCTCCAAAGGAAACGTGTCTCAACCTCGGCAGCTTGAAGATGTCGGGGACGTCAACACCTGGGCTCCCCTGGCATCTCTTCACCCGCCAGAGCGGAGGCTTTGAAGGATAATGTGGTGCAGATGTTGGGAAAGTGGCGCTTTTCTCCGTCCCTCAAAGCAGCTCCCTCCTTCCCCCCAGAAATGCTCTGGAGCCTGCAGCCCAAGCGTTGGCCTATTGATCACCAAATCATGGGACATGACAGGCGATTTGCACCGTCTGCTGCAGGCGGCGTCCATCAGCAGAGGCGGCAGGGCACCTGGGGATCGCCAGAGACGAACAATCCGGAAAGAGGGGGGGAAGTAGAAGGGAGGGGGGAGTCCTAGGCAAGAGGCAGCCGGGGCTGTAGAGGTGCTGGGGAGGCCTCAGGCTCTCCATGGGGGACCCCCCCCCCCGGATAATCCCTAGCGGCCCTCCAGAAGGGAGAGGGGCCCCCACCCCTTCACTAGCAGGACTGCAATCCACCAAGCTCTTTCAGGAGAAGCAGGGGGTCAGGGGGGGAGACAACGGAGGGGGAGCAGGGAGGTCCCCACATAAACCTTTCCTGCCCACTACCGAGAGACAGCCGGCCCCTTCCGTTGGGTGGGTGGGGGGTGTCAAACAAGTGGAGAGAGGGGGAAAGTTCCCTTAAAGCTTTCCTCCACTTGTTCTAGGAGGCTCCTGCCCCCCACCCCCACCCCCAGTGGGTGTCTTGATGTGGGGCAAGATGCCTCCTTGGGATCTCTGCATGCTTGAGTCGGGGGCCCCGCTGTGCCTCGGGCAGCCCCAGGATCCGTCACTCCGAAGAGAAACACCGGTGAACCAGCAGCGCCGTGGAACCCAATCAACCAGAACCCCCCTCTGGGCCCACCAGCGCCCCACCTACCCGGTTTTCAAGCTGACCAAGGCATCCTCCACTCCCTTCTGGTTGTACTTCACCATGTAAGCGTGCATCTCCTTGTAGTTGTTGCGGATGTTCCTCTCGGTGCTGCCGTTGGGGACGGTCCCGAACCGGAAAGGAGGGGAGTAGGCGTAGGGCTGCTGGAACTGGGGGAGGGGAGAGGGGACACGAGAGGTCAGGCGTCGCCCACCCATCAGTCCCGGCTGGCGTGGAGGGGCACCAGATTCACCAGCAGCATCCGGGGAAGATCATCCCCCAACCCAGGGGGAGCCCAAGAAGACCCCCTCGCACACACACACCGCTTCCTGCCTGCCTGGCCTGAGGGACGCTGCCGTGGCCGTCCTGCCCCCCACCCTCCCCAGGCCCCTTGGAGGGCATCTGGAAGTCCCGGCACGGAGGGGAGAAACACATTCCCCCCTTCCTCCTGTTGATCGGCGCCTCCTTCGCTCCAGACTCCTATCGGAATTACATACGTTCAGCTGGAACTTCCAGAATTTTTGTATCTTGGAGCAGCCGCCAGGCACAGAGAAGCACAAAGTGGAGGCACGTACACAACAGACACACTAAGGAGGAGGAGAGGTGTGGGACCTGGGAGCGTGAGGAGGAGCGTGCCAGGGGTCAGGAGGGAGGGGTGCGTGCAGGGCTGGTTCTGTCCTGGCCCCAAAGGCAGCCGAGGGCCTGGGGGGGGGGGGGAACCACTGACCTTCTTATCGCTCAGCCCTGTGACCTGGTCGACAAACTCCTCCTGGATCATGAAGGCCGCCAGGTTGGCCGTGTAGCTGGCCAAGAAGATGACCGCGAAGAAGGCCCAGACCGAGACCATGATTTTGCTGGTGGTGCCTTTCGGGTTCTGCACCGGCACGGAGTTGTTGAACACCAGGCCCCACAGGAGCCACACGGCCTTCCCGATGGTGAAGGAGGGCCCGTGAGCGTCTGGTGGGACAAAGGGGGGGGGGGGGAAGAGGGGTCGCTCAGACACGCAGCGCCACTGCCCAGCCCCCTGCGGCTCCTTCGCTTCTTCCTTAGCACCAGCAGCCCTTCCCCCACCCCCGGACGGGATTTGGGGCCAGAAGTCCTGTTGCTGAGCCCCCCCCCCTCCCCGCTGGTCGCCTCCATCACACCCGGGGAAGGACAGCAGAGCCACGTCTACACAGCCACGCGTGGCTGTGATGTAGACTCAAGAGATCTGGCGGGGGGGAGGGGGAGATGGCCCAGAGCAGAAGCCCAGCCAGCAGGGCCCATAACCCCTCTGCCCCATGGAGGGCTTGCTGCTGATGAGACCCTGCGCCCACAAGGCACCAGCCTTCCTCCTCCTCCTCCTCCTCCTCCTCCTCCTCCTTATCTACAGCGTGGAGGCGAAGGACCCCCTGAAAAGCTACTCTGAGAGTAAGCAGTTGGGACCAGGGAAGCTCATCCAGACGGCTCTTGAATCTGGAGGATCCACTCAAAGATCCGGCCACTTCCAAATGCTGCTGAGCCAAGGCTGCCCTGGGTGAAGGATGCTGGGAAGAGCCCACACTCCTCCCCTACGGGCACCCCTTTCTAAGGAGACCCCTCCCCCAGGTGAAGAGAGGCTGGGCAGAGTGCCCCCCCTCCCGAGTGACCCAGGACTGGTAAGTCAGGGAGAAGGGTCCCCTCCCTGGCCTGCTTCCCCTGCTTGAGGGTCCTGGGCCCATTGGCTGCGCAGGAGCTCTTGGGGCGGGGGGAAAAGAGGTGGGCTACCTTTCCCCTGGGCCAGGTTGCGGTTGTAGCCCACCGGGCTGAAGTACTCGAAGATGAAGACGGCGATGGCCGACACGACCAGCAGCATGACGAACATCATCACCCAGACAGAGGCGCTGAAGGGCTCTGCAACGAGGAAAGCGCCCCGTGGAAGAGCTTGGCTGCAGCAGGAACAATGACGCAACGAGACCCCCAGCTGCCAGCCGCCCCCCCTGCCCCCCCGTCCCCTCCGCTGCCTCGCTGGAGGGGATCCCTGCGCACAAGCCGGGTTGCAGCTGCTGCTCTCACAAGGCGGCCACGTTGGCTGAGCCGCAATGCAGACGGGAGGAGACGCTCCGGAGGGCCCCGCAGGTCTCGGGCTTAGAAGGAGCAGCCTCCCCCTCCCTCCCTGCCAAGTAGCTTCAGGGGAGGGGCTGCCGGGCTCAGCTGCGGATGCAGAAGCCCACCCGAAGGAAAGTCAAGCAGGACGCCCGGCATCAGAGAAAAGAGGGGGTTGCTTTTGTGGGGAGCCCACTCTGCATCTGGCCCAGAGGCTTCCTGGCAAGGACACCTGCGGATCGAGGCTCTCTGCCCAAGTTCAGCCCAGGCCAGGCAAGGCCCACCAGCCGCCTCTTGGGTGCCTGCAAGGCTGGGGCAAAGAGCCCGTCCCCCTCCCTCCTCGGGGAAGGAGCTGGGCCTGTGGAGCTGGCAGGAGGGGCTTCCCAGCTTGCTCTGCCAGGGGAAAGGGGGGGCCCCACCCAGACGGCTGAGCAAGCCCTGAGCGAAGCACCTCGGTGCCAGAAACAGCCTCAAAGGGAAGGAAAAGCTTCACTCTGGACCCCAGGAGAATGGCCAGGGCAGCCACCCACCTCAGAAGGCAGTGGGCCCAACTCTGCAAAGGGAGGGAGGGAGGGAGGGAGGGAGGGAGGGAAGCTCACCTAAGAAAGCAGAGGGAGAAACGGTGCCGTTACTCCGTGAGACCATGACGCTAATCCCAGTTTCCACAAAGGGCACCGAAAAATCCACCACCTCCGAGCGCTCCCCGTTGATGGTCAGGGACCCGACCGCCATCACGGCCTGCTTTTTGACCACCTGTGGGCAAAGGGAGACGAGGGGAAGAAGGGGAAGCTCCAGCCCAAGCAGAGGAAGAGGCCGAGCGATCTCCCAGGCAGAGCCGCAGAACCTACCTCCCCAATCATCCCGTTCCACTCGTTATTGATCTTCTTCCCGTGCTTCCCGTTGATCACCAGGTAGAGATCGTAGGTGAACTTGATGGTCCTGGAGAGCTTCTTCAGGATGTCGATGCAGAAGCCTTTGCAACATTTCTTCAGGTTCTTCCCTTCTTTGGTGATGTTGCTGAGGAGACGAGCACAAAGGTCTATCTTTCCTTCCTTCCTTCCTCCCTTCCTCCCTCCTTTTCTTTAGCTTTGAAGAGGGGCGAGGAGGAGGAAGGAAGGAGGAAGGAGGAAGCAGGTATCATTAACAACTGTCATTGCAAACCCAGATGGGAGGCAACTCGTGGTCAACTTTGACAGGTCTTGAGAACCTGATTGTCAGCCTCTGCTTTGCTGTTGCTTCGGCTGCCATGAAACGGAGAGGGAGGGCATGGTATTTGGGAGGGGTTACTCATTGTGCTGGAGGAAGGTTCTGGAGTTCACCGGCTGATCGAACTACGCATGCGTAGGAGATTCCCGCCAGGACTAACGGCACCGACATTCCATCTTCGTGATGCCTTTTGAAGTTATCTTACACCTGACACTTGGAAGACTTATGATTGGACTGTAACTGTGATGCCCAGGGATGGGGAATGGGCTATTCTATATATCCATCGCTTTCGCGCCTAAATAATCAGACTTCGCTTTGCTACGCCTTTAATCATTCTTAATTAGTAAAAGTACATTTGATTTCCACACATGGAGTCTCGTGGTCTTTCTTTCCTAATTAATTAATGGAGAGGTGCTGACACTGATCTTGAGGCCACCAGGAAATCAAGAGGAAACGGGAGAAGCCCCTTTCAACGCCTGGACCTGCCCTGGAGAAGCCGGCGTCCTTGGAAGGAGCCTTCACCTTGTAAGGGGGGTGGGGGGGTCCTACACCCCCACATCTAAACAATGGGCAAGGGGGTGAATGCGCAACCAGGGCCCCCATCTGAAGACCCTCCCAGGCCTTTGCAGCCCTTGGGGAAACGGGGGGGGGCAGGGCTTGAGGTTTTGGGTCCAGGGAGGGTGAGGGGTCTCTCTGGGCTTACTTGATGACGACGAATTTCCGGCAGGGGACAGTGTTCTTCACGCAGGTCTCCGTCAGGGGGTCCATGTCCTCCACGATGACGAAGGGAGCCTCCTCCAGGGTGACGATGCTGAGGTGGTTGTGGTCCGGGTCGCTGTCGTTGAAGGAGTTGAAGCGGGGCCACACGGAGTACTTGTGGGTCAGCGTATGGTTCTCCCACTCGCCCACCTGAGGAGCCAACACAGGCAGGGGGGGGGGGGCACAGGTGAGCGGCAGCCCCACTTCCAGGGAGCAAACAGAAGCTCCCTTAGGATCCTGGGATCCTTTGTCCCAGGGATTTCTTGAGCATCTGTATTTTATGATCCTCGCACTTGGCTCTGCTCAAGGTCCATCCAGAGATTCGTTTCCTTGTTTCTGATGCCGGAATAATCCCCTCTTCATTCATGACACGCCCCCTTCTAGGTCAGCCAGGTTGTGCCCCCCCTCCGGCCCCCTTTCCTGCCCCCCCCGCCTCCAGCTTCAGCTCAATAGGGCCAAGAATTGCCATTCCTCTGAATTCATGCGCTCTGACTTTAGTCTGGAGGATGCCGGCGTTCTCTCCAGGCCCCAATGGCTCTTCCGTGGGGCAAGAAGACAGGGTGAAGTTGGGCAAAGAAACACTGGGGGGGGGGGAAGGGGACGGAAGCAACCCTGCCTGCCCCCCCTCCTGTTTCCGGAGACCAATCCCGCCCCGAAAAAGAGGGGGCTGCTGCTTTCTGTGCTACTACAGAGGACGGGGGGCGCAGGCAGCCGGGCTGCAGGGAGGGATTCTCTGAGACACCGAAGTGCTCGCCTATCGACCAGGAATTCATCAAAACGCCCAGGACAAAATGCTCTCGGCTTTACATCCAGCAGCCTCAGACCACAATTGGAGTCTGCTTGCTTGACTGCCCAGACAGAAACTCTCACCCAGATGGAGCCTTCAGGTCTCCAGTTTGCAGTGTTCAAGTACACACATACACACACACACACAGACACCCACACACGGACAAATGCCATACATTCAGGAACAGAAGCTTGAAGTGGATTGGGGCTACAGCAGGAGGCAAAAGGTTGACACACACACACACACACACAC